AAAATTTTAACTTCCAAAAAAGGGGAAATGTATAGTTTTTAGAGAGACAATAACCACAATCTATGTTAACTATACCCAGATACAACTATATTCAATCTAGCATACAATAGGTACATGAGGGGATATATGAGCATGAGTTCTAGTGTTGTTATTGGAGCAAGGTGTGCAGTTTCATCAACAAAAATTCAATGTCCAGATAAATAAGTATGCCTTATTAACTCACAGTACAGCATGGAGTGTGCATGTGACATGTGTGTGGTGGCATAGTATAGTGTTCCTATCTTGTTATGGGATCATCTTGTAATCTCAAGGAATAACAAAAAAAGTGGGTGTGCAATTATTATATCTCTACTCCAAGTAAGAAGCTAGAAATTACTAATGATGCAAGGAGTTCAGTTATATACCTGTTTCTTGAGCAATAACCAGGCATCCTCCTCCTCTAATTTGTCAATGTGGTGGTAGGGAAGCACAGCTTTCATCCCGCGGGCAACTCTTTCATCTCTAGTAGTGACAAGAACTCGGCTACCTTGAGCCACAACATTAGCCATGGGTATTTCGAGGACATCGCCCCATGCTCTGTGGCTCCACACATCATCTAGCACCAACAATAGTTTTTTCCCTGTCAAGGCAGTACTAAGGATTGGCTGAAGCACAGCCAACGCCTTTTCACCTCCGTGTACGCCATCTGCGAGCTTGATGATTGTCCTGAGCAACTCAACCTTGTCAATGTTCTGGTTGATGCTCAACCATATCGTCTTGTCAAACTCATCCTTAACGGTTTGATCATTGAAAACCTTCTGGGCAAGAGTGGTCTTACCGATCCCGCCTACGCCAACAATGGCGACCACCATGATGTTGGTGTGGCCCACTTTTTCAGTCAGCATGATCTCAACCAGCTTTCTGGTGTCCTCTTCGATCTTCTCCCCGACTACACCCAACTGACCATCCCCCGCTGATGTCTCACGGCTGGTATCACCAGAATGAGAGGTTTGCACCTTGCTGCTACAATCCTCATAGGAACCAAGACTGATGAAGCTGAAAGCAGCACTTCGCTCCTTGATGTTGTCAAGCCTCTTGTTGAGTGCCTTGATGCGGGTGCCAATGTCGTGGGCATGGGAGGGATTCCGCATGCAGAAGAGCAAGGGGTTGAAGCACCCCACATCTACAGTGGACGGACCGCGCTCCATGGCCTTGAGCTGGCAGAGGTCGAGGATGTCGGCAGCTTGGTACATGGTGCGCTTGAGGTGGGCCACCCACTCTTGCACCCTTGTGTCAGTGATGTTTCTCCTATCAGCATCGGCAAGGAAGTTTTCGAGGTCCCTAAGCTTGACATCCATCTTGTCGATCTCAACTCTGACTCCAAGCAGCATGTGCACCTCTTCATTCACCATCTCTGTGAGCATATTTTGCACATAGTTTGCAAAGGCATCTAGGATCATCGCCATGTTTGCACGTTTGCTGTAACAAATTTTAACCACATATTATACCTAGACAACAGATGCAAGCAAAGCCAACTAAACATGGAGAGGGATCCAAAATTACCTTCAAGATGGATGGGTGTTGTGCCCTGCTCTAGGTCCTCAAGAGCAAGTCGTAGTACTGGGGAGGGGCTAGCAAGGACGGGGCAACGTGTATATATATAAGCTAAATAAAATTAATTAGTTCTCCAACCCTATCATGTTACTAGATTACTTGCAACTTGCATGGAATTATATATTAGGTAGCCTGTCTTAGTCTCTATAAGTAAACTTCCTCCCGCCATACGATCAACGGATCCATCTACATGAACGCTATATGCCCACGAATTAAATGACGTGTTGAGTCTTGCATTATTCATCAGATTGATCTGTTAGCTGGTAGGTAGCTAGCTGGTGAATGATACGATACAATTGATGCTAACTCTAATATTCAGACAGTATAATACAATCAACTGTACCTTAGATGTATCCGTTTCTTATTATAGGCTGTGCAAGGAAGTAAACACGTAAACCAAGACTCAGGAGCATCCTGGTATTTCCTGGAAGCAAGTGGTGTAGTTTACGCTGAAACTGTCTGTTTGTTCCGAAGGCCATAACCAAAAGACGCTTTGTGATTCGAAGTCATGGTTTCACACTAGCCTAACTTGCTGCGCAATGTACTATGGAGTACCTTACTATAAGCCTTTCTGATGGGCACCCATTTGTTAACTAGCACTAAATGTCACCATCTTCTACCTCTCACAGTCCCACTTGGAAGGATCGGAAAAGGTAGTACATAAACTGCACAAAAAGATTGTTTTTTTTTTACAAAGATGAAGCCGTGAGAATATATACTAGACACAAATGACAACTAGAAAGCAGTGGATGCTAAAGACAAATGGCCACTGGAACAGAGGAATGCTAGCTAGATAGAAATAATGATCATGTTATTTGTCAGTCTCGTGCAGTAGAGAGAACTTGCCTGAGGTTGTGATATTTTGAGGCCTGGCAGTTTCCTGGGACTTCGAACAAGGTGTCAAGGTTGATCATCGGCCGGCATTACACAACTGGCACCTGATGTATATGAACTGCATAGTGAATGAGGCAATATTATCAGTACTATAGAAATGGAAGACTGAAGATCCCTGAGTCAATTTCTGTGAGATCATCATCAGGCACTGTCATCCTTGGTGGAATCAAAATGAGTTCTGCGTGGCTATGCTATGCTTTTACTGGACCTAACAATGGTTTGTGTTGATTAAGTAATTCAGAGATGTGTACTGACAGTGAACTTGGGGTACTTGTAAATACATTATGATGCTGGAACTGAATTAGACCGATACTCCCATCAAGCAAAGCAAATACAGTGTATACCCCAAAAAATGTGCAGATTCCAAATTACCACTGTAGCAAAATTAAGGATCAACGAGGGAATGGAGCAAGCGGAATGAGAATGAGGCCTGGGTGCGGATGTGGTGGGTCCAGGACGTACTCTGACCCGGGCGCGCCCCCGCCACCTGTTCGTCAGACAGCGCCACTTGCGCCCACCACCTCACAGCAGACCACCTTAGCTCCCCATCCTGCTGCACAGCAGCGCCGCTGCTGGCGAATCCTCCTGTCGCGGCGGCATGGCGGTGCCTGCGCACAACCATCCATCCAACCAGAGAGTCGCTCTGATGGCGCCACCTGTGAACTTTCCCCATCGTCGGGCCTGAAAAGGGCAAGCCCAGCCACAGCCTTGGTGGCCGAAACCCAACGAGGCCCATTGCCGATGCTCCAACAAAGTGGCGGGCGGCAACCCACTGGTTCCATCAACTGGTCGTTTTAAAGTTTGTCGTCCATACACAAAGTTCAGACTACTTAACACTTGTCTTTGCCAAACAGATAGATAACCAGAGTTATAGAATGTTGAGTTCAGTTCATGTTGCAGCATCGACGTAATCTTTAGCTCCACTGCGTGCCTGCTCTTTCATGCATTCAAAATCTCCAACCAGCTTTGGTGGTACTCTGAGAGGCAGCTTACCCCCAAGCCGATGCACAAAGGCCTCGCCACCGCGACTCTGCTCGTCCCCTGGATGCTTTGGAAACACCGAAACTACTGCGTCTTCGACAGAGGCCGCCTCTCGGTCCATGCCCTGGTGACAAAGATCAAGGAAGAGGCAGCCCTTTGGGCTAGCGCCGGTGCACTGGGACCTAGAGCTGTCATCCACTAGACGGGCATCCACTGATTTCATATTTTGGCTCTGTAATTTCCTTCTAGGACGATTGTAAATCCAAACAAGTACTATCCTCAAAAACAGGACAAAGGAATGGTAATCGTAACTGCACCCTTGACACTCACCTTTCCATTAATTGACAGAGCGGTCTTCACTGCCACTAGCAATCAGAGCAGATGAATGTGCATCGACAGAATATACAAGAGAAGTGTGCTCAATCATCTCCAACAGGGGCTGGCAGGTTAATGCACATAATTTGATAGTTCTGCAGCCAACCAAAATATCATGTGTGAATAAACAGACAGTGGTTGTACACCGAAGAGTAGAATCAGAAAATGAATGTAAAATGATAATAATAAAAATATTAAGAGGCAAATTGCTCACAGCAGTCGATGGCTCCACTTGTTTCTAGATGCGGCAGCTGCATGGGAAAATTGTGAACCAACAAACTCAACATCTCATATATTTCCTCCATCCTTGGGTGCGACCCATCCTCTGCATTGAAAGAGTGCACCTCATTCTTCACCTCAATCCAGCTCCAACCAGGGACTTTGCTTAATCCTTTATTCTTCATTTCCCTCTGCACTATTGCTCTATCATTCCACATCCCAAGACCAGAATACATGCTGGAGAGGAGAACATAGGTGGAGTGCTGTCTAGGTTCTGCCTCCAATAGATGGCTGGCCACATCACTCGCTAGTTCCATATTCCCATGGATTCTGCAAGCACCTAATAGGGTCATCCACACCATGGCATCTGGTTCAAATGGCATGGAGTCAATAAGCTCTTTTGCTTTGTCAAGCTGCCCAGCCCTCCCATACAGATCAATGCCACATGCATAATGCTCCATCCGAAGAGGAATTCCATACTTAGTTTCCATTGTATTGAGGATTTCTGAACCTTCGTCCACAAGACCAGCATGACTGCAGGCAGTAATCAGGCCAACAAATGTGATATGATCCAAAGGAACCTTAAGCTTCAGCATCTCATTGAAGAGGCTGCGCACGGCTTGCGCCTGTCCATGCTGCGCATAACCAAACATCATTGAGTTCCATGGCACAGAGCTACTCTTATCTGCCTCCTCAAAAGACTCCATTGCATCATCCAAAACGCCACTCTTAGAATACATGAAGATCAGCGAGCTGGAAACAAACTTGTTGGAAGCAAAGCCAGAATGGATGACTAAACCGTGTATTTGTCTACCTAGCCGAAGTAAAGCAAGGTCTGAGCATGAACGCAGGGCAGCAGAGAATGCAAACTCGTCAGTTCTAATATTTTTTGACTGCATGCATCTGAAGAATCTCAAGGCATCAGCGCTCAAACTGTGCTGTGAATACCCAGTTAACATAGAATTCCAGGAGACGGTGTCTTTAAGCAGCAAGGAATCAAAGCACTTATATGCATCTTCCATCATGCAGTTCTCACCAAATCTAGTGTACATGGCAATTAGAGCATTGCAAATAGGCGTGACTCCTTCGAAGCCGTTCTTGATCACCAAACCATGAATTACTGTCCCTCCATGGTCACGATGCTCTGCGCACGCACTTATGATACTTGTGAAACTATACATGTCAGGCTCAACTCCACTCGCCTGCATCATGCTAGCAAAGAATCCCATCGCCTCATGCTCCATCCCATGGGTAGCATAAGCTGCAAGCATTGCGTTCCATGAGATTAAATCCCGTCTGTCCCCAATTTCATCAAAGATCCTTCTAGAATTTGCCAGGGCCCCACACCGTGAGTAGGCGGTGATTGCTGCATTCAACACTATCAAGCCCAATGCTGATCCATATTTAACAATCTTCCCATGCAGCTGGTGTATCAAGAAGCAACTGGAGTCATCGACCATCGTGAGCAATGCAGCGAATGTTGCCTCATCTGGACGTAACCCCTCCCTCTCCATCTCGACAAACAGCTGAACTGCTGGAGCAACCTTGCTGGATTCCGCATAACCAGCAATGAGTGCATTCCAAGAAACAGTGTTCCGCTCCGGCATTCCATCGAACACCTGACGAGCGTCCCTCGTGCTGCCACATTTTGCATACATGTGAAGCAATGCGGTCGCGGAGAAGACGTTGTCGGCGAGGCCGGCTTTGACGGCGAGCAAGTGCAGCTGGGCGCCCAGAGCAGGGCAGCCCACGGCGGCAGCGGAGCGGAGGGCGGAGCCGAGGGCGAAGGTGTTGGCGGCGAGTCCTCGGGCATGCATGGCCCGGAGGATGCGGTATGCGGTGGGATGCGCGCCGGCGGAGACGTGCGCGGTGAGGAGGGAGTTCCAGGAGGCGGCGTCTGGGCGGGGGATTTGGTCGAACACCTGGCGCGCGGCGACGAGGCCGAGCGGGGAGACGGAATAGGCGGTGAGGAGCTGGTTCCAGGGCGTCGGGGAGGTGACGCCGGACTTGAGCAGGGTGGCATGGGATTTTGTGACCGCGGCGACGGTGAGGTGGTGGCAGCGGCGGAGTTGGCGCGCCGGCATTTTTCTTGCGTTTTTTGGATGGGGAATTTGACCTCTAAACCCAACTTACCTCGCACGCCGATGGTTTGAGGCGCCCAGATCGCCACCCCGTGGAAAGCACTGCCCAGGTGGCCGCCGTGTGCAGGCGTGCAGCCGGCGGGAGCCAACTCGCCGCCTCCGTGGACGCCCCGCCGCACGCAGCTCACAATGGCGCCTCCGTCGTCAGGCGACAGGGCACGACACCGCGCGGCCCGTCTTCCTCTCTCTTTCTTCCATGGGAGAACCGCACAGAGGATAGGAGCGGGCGGCCGAAGTGGCCGGGAGCGAGGGGCGCCGGCGGCGTCGAAGAGAGCAGACGTTGCCGGGGTTGCTCATTTTTGGTCCGCGATACGCGTAGCCTGGGCCGCCGCTGAGACGGCCGAGCCTTCCTTCTTCAGCCGATCTGGGCCTGGGCTGGAGGGAGTGGCGTCAAATAGGTTGGCAAAAAGCCCACGCCTCTACCTAAATTGGCCGCCCAAAGCATGACCCAACAACTTTAGATTTTGTTTTGTAATTTTTTAAAATAAAGAAAATCTAGAAAATTGTTAAAAAAAGTTTAAGAATTGATTTTTAATAATTTCATTGCTTAGTAAAAGAAATATTTCATATATTTGAAAAATGTGCACCATATTGTAAAAGTTTGTCGTGTATGTAAAAATATTAAACATGGAAATGTGTTTAAATAATAGTTATGTATAGAAATGTGTTTAAACATGGAAAGAAAGGAAGAAAACGGAAAAACAAATCAAAAAATGAAATAAAAAAATAAAGCCAGATTAAAAAAGAACAAAAACCAAAATAAATAAATACCAAAAGAACCAATCAAAGAACTAATGAAAAAGGACATTGATAATCAAGTGTAAATGGCCGGAACACACACAGATGCGCTTGTGTGTTTCGACGGTAATTTGACACTTAAGGTGTCAAATATGATTGACCCACTGGCCACTATATCTACCCCTCAAAAAAAAAAACTAGCCTCTATATCTAGATGTTTTTGGTCCCACGTCGCCAATTTGATAGGATTTTTACCGCTATATAAAATGTTTGCTCGAGAATAGTATCACCAAGTAGCAAATAGAGGTATATTTAAGAGTAAACAAATCTAGGGTATAGTATACAATGTAAGGTCTAGGGTTACATGGGGTAGCTATGCCCGAGGGTGGAGGGTAGGGGCCAAATATGCCCCATGAGATTATTGTTAAAACCAGATTATGAATTGCCAGCAAAAATCACCGCTTATTAAAAAAAGCTTTTCGTATGTTTGAAAAATGTTCATTGTGTTGTAGAGGTTCGTCGTGTATTTAAAAATATTCACCATTTATTTTTAAAATGCTCATGTATAAAATAACAAAACAAAAAATAAATAAATAAATGAAAGCGAGGGAAGAAAACCGAAAGGAAAAAAGGAACAAAAACTGAAAAGAAAAGAATCGAAAGAACCAATCAAGAAACGGAAGAAAAAAGACATAGAAAATGACCGTAAATGATCGGCCCTCTCACGCATGCACCTGTGTGCTTCGCCAGGCGTCAAATATGGTTTACCATTATACTGAGATGTTTTTAGCCCCACATTGCCAATTTGATAGTATTTTCACCACTACATAAATGTTTGCCTCGAGGCTGGTATCACCAAGATATAGGTAGGTTGCAGCAGAAAGGATGTGTTCATTGTCACAACCAAATGCTATCCGCAATTTTTTAGAGAGTAAGAATTTTGACCTTTGAAGAAAACAAGTTGAACACCAAATGTTACACTTAATTTTCATTAGATGATTTTACTCCCCTGTTTTTCACTCGTTATGTGCCGACTGACATTTTAAACAGTTGTTTTGGCTTGTGAGGCCAGAAGGCGGTTTCGAATATTTGCATGTGGTATGCTAATATTGGAAGTTTGGAACTAGCGGGGTAGCAAAATTATGCAGAAACAGTCCCAGAGGCAGAAAAAAGTAATGACAAACAATTAATTCCAATCAACTGTCTCCACTCTCCAGCACTAACTACTGAAGTACTAAGCCAAACAACCTATTGGTCCATAGACCGTTCTACATTTTCAGCTTGCACTTAGCAACCTACCGTGGTAGTTTAGCAAGTCTGCAAGCCATCATTATTGTCATATGTGATATTTGAATTTAATGGCGCCATTAGATGATTTACTCCCTTATTTTTCACTTGTTGTGTGCCGACTGACATTTTAAACAGATGTTTTGGCTCGTGAGGCCAGAAGTCGTTTTTTAATACTTTTATTACATTTTAAAGGGAAACTGCCCATATTTTGGTAGGCACGGCTTATGCAGGGAGCAAGAGATTAATTTTCCTTTCTTTCGCCTGTCCTGGTCATTGATTGAGCGGAATCCTATGTGTAGACTGATGCAGAAGCGGAGTGTTTCAAGGCAAACAAATCCAGTGATGATAATGGCAGTTTCAGAAAAGATGCTGAAGCTGACTCAAGAAATGCTAGTAATGAGGCTGTTGATCAAAATCCTCCAACCGGCAGAGCCACCAAAGAAAGATTACATCCATGCATGTTAGGGCAAGAAGGGGTCAGGCAACTGAAATCCATAGCCTTGCAGAAAGCCATGTACACTACCATATTCTGACGAAATCATTACCAGCAAGTATGTTTCTAACACACCAGAAGGCGGTCTTCTGTCTGCAGAAAAGGACTCTGAACTTCAACCTCCATGTGAGTTGCTTCCTGAAGAATAACCTGTCTAGTTGTGCAGCTAACAGAGTACTAATTAAATATAGGTTAGCTATCATTATGTAGTCGAGAACTAGCAGAAGAGATTATCTATCATTTGTACGAGTTGTGAACTGTATAAAGACGAGGAGATTTGGCATCACAGGCTTGTTGTTGCTTCGCTGTAGGAAATTGGAACCAAAGATGGAAAGAGGAGCCTGTTTTCTGTCGGATATTCGAAATGGCTCCCAGCAGCATATATGATCCTGCATGTAAAAGATATTTTTGTGATTGTCAATAGATTCAGGAGAAAAAAAATAGACATTCAAGAAAAGAAATAGACCTGTCCATATGTTTTTCCCCAAGAAATTCAGGAAAAATAAATAGACATGTGTATGTTCGTGTCCTTTGGGAAAGGTGTATCTACTACCGCCACAGAAATGTACTACTCCCTCCGTCCCATAATACAAGAGCGTTTTTAATACTACACTAGTGTTAGAAACACTCTTATATTATGGGTTGGAGGGAGTACATTTTACATGCCGATCGATGTGGGAATCAGTTGGCCCAATAAGATGCACTTCTATTCATGTATTGTACACTGAAGAGAAGAGGCTCCAGGTAACATTGCTCTCTACAGTACTCGCAGTTTGGCTTCAGGCATGTTTGGTTTTGAGTTTCTCACAAAAGATCGCCTGCTGCCATAAACATATATACAGGACTCCCTGCCATTATGTTTGCAAATTATCCGGTTTGGATCAGCTAACGGATGGCGATTACAGTTTTCAACACATCTCAAATAGCAGAGGCGACAATTCTTCAGTGTACTCGCACCACAGTGATTCATTTGGCACTCTGTTGGATAGTACAGTGTATACTGTACCGTGATTTCATTTGTTAGAGCCGCGTTTGCCCATTTAATTGTAGGGTCGTCAGTACTTGCTTGTTTGTGATAGACATATATACATTCTCTGGGACTGAACTGGCACTTTGTTAGCAGTTCATTTGCTCGTGAATTTGTGATAGGCATACAAATTCAGTGTAGAGAATCGGCCAATTGAATTCAGTGTGCGGAATCTGTTATATTTTGCTTGAGATGGGGACTTCATTGGCCTTTTTTTTTGTCACCAAGTTGTGGTAGCAGAAACTGCATATAAATCAACAGTGTGGATGACTGACGCGGCAACCTAGCAAAAGTTGGCCGGCAATGTTGATTTCTGAAGTCAATCAGCTCCATTCTCCTTATGACTTCAACGAACCAACTAACCAACCAGACCAGGAAGAAAAAAGAAAAAATGGAGTTAATCCACCGTAAAAAAAAGGGAGTTAATCAGTTAAAGATTCTCACTAGCATTACTGTCATATCAAAAGAACAAACCAAGAAGCAGAGAACCCTCATATTTCTGGATGGAGGGAAGAACAGGAATTGAAGTGCAGTGTGCTAGCAGTACTACCTAGTTAATGATCTCTTCATCTGTTGTTCTTGTCTTCCCTTCTTGTTTCTTGTTTTCATCCGTTCAACCTGATGCAGCTACTTCATCCTCCTCCTCTGCATCCACCAGGAGGAAACTAATATAAAAATTTAGTGAAAAGAGCAACCAACGATCAAATTAGGATGTAGGAGATGTTGTCCTAATTCACCTCCTCATTCCGATGACCTGCTTGCCAAGAAGTGACGTGACAGCATATCCCTCGCCCTGACAGCATCCTCGTTTGCTAACTGGCGCACTTCCTCTGAGCAACTTCCCCGCTTGGCGCTCAGCATGGCTGCATCATCCTCCATTTCTATAACTATGTTATGCAACGTGCAGCAGGCATAGACCGTCTTACCCGCGTCTAGGTTGACCGGGCACGGCATCGCACTCTGCAGGTACTTCCATGTGTCTTTGAACCTTGCCAGCGCCTTCCGAGCACAGGTAGCGGCTGAGAAGTGTCTCCTATTGAACTCCGCCTTGGAGTCTGACAGGTCTTTTTCCGGGTAAGGTGTGAGTAGCCATGGGAGAAGAGGGTATCCTGCATCACCAATTATATATTCCCCGACTTCTGATCCATCTAATGCCACCTTCAGCTTGCTGCCATTCAGCCAACCGCCCTTCTCACACTCTTTGAAGAATTCAGAGTCCTGCAAAAGGCCCAACCGATTCATGCTACCCGCTGGTCCCAACCAAATGTTTCTGAACCTCATCTCTGGATCAACAATTACTTGCATCCGAGTGCTCTCAATCTTCTCATGGTCCCAGTTTGGTCCAAATGGGATGTGAGTTGTACATATAACACCGCAACAGTTGTGCATATTGTG